ACCGGGAAACAAACGAAAAAAACACCTAAAGACTCAAAATGAAGGAAAATAAATAATAAAACACGAAACAGACTAAAAACTAAAGAAAAGACCTAAAATGGGAGAAAAAGAAAGATAAAATAAACACGAAAAATGCAACAAAAATGAGACAAACAACTCTTCCACACTTAAACCTTTGTTTGTCCCGAACAAAACGAAAAGAAAATGAAAAGACACGAAACTAAAAACCAAGCATGGACAACAGTCATTAGCAAGATAGCTTCAACATGTTCAACTTCAACAACGAGCATTCAAATGGCACATACGAATATTAAACAACTACATGCTTGATCTCTATAGTTCGACTTGGTGTTCTCTCAAGTATGGGAATATATATGTTGTAGCAAATTATTTTATTTTTTTACCGAGTATCGAATCAAAAGATTCGTTCCCCGGGTCGATCTCTCGAGGAAGACGGTTCGGAATTTAGCGTTGGTCTTGATCGCACACGAAAGGAAAATAAGTCCTAAACACTCTAATCACGATTGATTTGGGGAATTAACTAATACAAGCTAGAACTAGAAAAGCAAATTAAAGAAATAAAAATTAAATTTCTAGAGAAAAAAGAAGAAGTTCTAGGGGTCGGGAAATCTCCTCAAGTCATAAACTATGTTGAATGCTTATTTGTTCGGTTACGAGATTTAACAAGCATACACGTCTAGAGGGCTATGCTCAATAACTCTTCGTAATAAGAGCACAAACATAAACGATAAACTCATTCAAACAAGCAACACATAGACAATACTTTTACGAACATGTCTACTCTATACGAGCCTAAATCGACCGACGTCTCCCCTCTCGGTTCTAAACGTCGATTAACTAGGTTAGAATGGTGATCAATCAACTAACCCTATAATTCACACAACTCGTATAGATTGAACCAAACACATTCCTCATAATTCAAGACAAGAATCAAAACCCCTAACCCTAGGTGAATGGATTACCTCATGCTTAGATTCAATTTCATGTTAACCGGAATTAAGAACCTAAGCCAATCAACAATAATAAAATAGAATTGAAAAACTTAGAATCGGATTAAGAATTGCAAGATTTCAATCCAAATATCTTTGTATCCAACAATCTAAGCATGAGAAAATAAAAGCGGAGAAATTCATCCTAACAATATTTAGTTTTTGGAGAGAAAAATTGAAAGGAACGATATTGGGGATTGTTCCTTAGGTCTGGGGGGTCGTTTTTATATATAGAGCTCGAAAAACGGAGCTAAAACGAGCAAAATAAAAAACAGGGCCGACTCGGTCGCGACTCGCGAATTGACTCGCGAGTCGCGAGTCTGACGGGTCGTGGGGTCGTGCAGGGTGGTCGGAGACGACTTTGGACTGCACTGCGCCATTTTACGTTTCGGGCTCTTTTGGGCTCGTCCGAACTGGGAATTGAGTTCTGTGTTTTGCTACATGTCGCCAACGAACCCATCTATCCAGTTATGCTCTCGAAATCTACTTTTCCTGAAGAGAAAATTCTCCCGAAGCTCCCGACCTACATACCAAAAACAACAAAACACGAAAAAAACCGGGAAACCAACAAAAAAAACACCTAAAGACTCAAAATGAAGGAAAATAACTAATAAAACACGAAACGGACTAAAAACTAAAGAAAAGACCTAAAACGTGGAGAAAAAGAAAGATAAAATAAACACGAAAAATGCAACAAAAATGAGACAAACAACTCACCCACGCGTAAACCTTTGTTCGTCCCGAACAAAAAGAAAAGAAAATGAAAAGACACGAAACTAAAAACCAAGCATGGACAACAGTCATTAACAAGATAGCTTCAACATGTTCAACTTCAACAACGAGCATTCAAATGGCACATACGAACATTAAACAATTACATGCTTGATCTCTATAGTTTGACTTGGCGTTTTCTCAAGTATGGGAATATATATGTTGTAGCAAATTATTTTATTTTTTGTCCGAGTATCGAATCAAAAGATTCGTTCCCCAGGTCGATCTCTCGAGGAAGATGGTTCGGAATTTAGCATTGGTCTTGATCACACACGAAAAGAAAATAAGTCCTAAACACTCTAATCACGATTGATTTGGGGAATTAACTAAAACAAGCTAGAATTAGAAAAGCAATTTAAAGAAATAACAATTAAATTTCTAAAGAAAAAAGAAGAAGTTCTAGGGGTCGGGAAATCTCATCAAGTCTTAAACTATGTTAAACTATTATTTGTTCGGTTATGAGATTTAACAAGCCTACACGTCTAGAGGGCTATGCTCAATAACTCTTCGTAACAAGAGCACAAACATAAACGATAAACTCATTCAAACAAGCAACACATAGACAATACTTTTACGAACATGTCTACTTATTACGAGCCTAAATCGACCGACGTCTCCCCTCTTGGTTCTAAACGTCGATTAACTAGGTTAGAATGATGATCAATCAACTAACCCTATAATTCACACAACTCGTATAGATTGAACAAAACACATTCTTCAAAATTTTAAACAAGAATCAAAACCCCTTACCCTAGGCGAATGGATTACCTCATACTTAGATTCAATTTCATGTTAACCGGAATTAAGAACATAAAACCAATCAACAATAATAAAATAGAATCGAAAAACTTACAATCGGATTAAGAGTTGTAAGATTTCAATCCAAATATTTTTGTGTCGAACAATCCAAGCATGAGAGACAAAAATAAAAGCAGAGAAATTTATCCTAACAATATTGAGTTTTTGGAGAGAAAAATTGTAAGGAACGATATTGGGGATTGTTCCTTAGGTCTGGGGGGTCATTTTTATATATAGAGCTCGCAAAATGGAGCCAAAACGAGAAAAAAAATGAGCAAAAATAAAAAACAGGGCCGACTCGGTCGCGACTCGCGAGTCTGATGGGTCGTGGGGTCGCGCAGGGTGGTCGGTGGCGACTTTGGACTGCACTGCGCCATTTTACATTTTGGGCTCCTTTGGGCTCGTCCGAACTGAGAATTGAGTTCTGTTCTTTGCTACATGTCTCCTTTGAACCCATCTATCCAGTAATACTCTCGAAACGAAGTTTTCCGAAAGAGAAAATTCGCCAGAAGCTCCTGACCTACACACCAAAAATGACAAAACACGAAAAAAACTGGGAAACCAACGAAAAAAACACTTAAAGACTCAAAATGAAGGAAAATAAATAATAAAACACAAAACAGACTAAAAACTAAAGAAAAGATCTAAAACGGGAGAAAAAGAAAGATAAAATAAATACGAAAAATGCAACAAAAATGGGACAAACAACTCCCCCACACTTAAACCTTTGTTCGTCCCGAACAAAATGAAAAGAAAATGAAAAGACACGAAACTAAAAACCAAGAATGGGCAACCATCATTAACAAGATAGCTTCAACATGTTCAACTTCAACAATGAGCATTCAAATGGCACATACGAACATTAAACAACTACATGCTTGATCTCTATAGTTCGACTTGGCGTTCTCTCAAGTATGGGAATATATATGTTGTAGCAAATTATTTTATTTTTTTACCGAGTATCGAATCATCAGATTCGTTCCCCGGGTCGATCTCTCGAGGAAGACGGTTCGGAATTTAGCGTTGGTCTTGATTATACACGAAAAGAAAATGAGTCTTAAACACTCTAATCACGATTGATTTGGGGAATTAACTAAAACATGCTAGAACTAGAAAAGCAATTTAAAGAAATAACAATTAAATTTCTAGAGAAAAAATAAGAAGTTCTAGGGGTCGGGAAATCTCATCAAGTCTTAAACTATGTTGAAAGCATATTTGTTCTGTTACGAGATTTAACAAGCCTACACGTCTAGAGGGTTATTCTCAATAACTCTTCGTAACAAGAGCACAAACATAAACGATAAACTCATTCAAACAAGCAACACATAGACAATACTTTTACGAACATGTCTACTCTATACGAGCCTAAATCGACCGACGTCTCCCCTCTCGGTTCTAAACATCGATTAACTAGGTTAGAATGGTGATCAATCAACTAACCCTATAATTCACACAACTCGTATAGATTGAACAAAACACATTCCTCATAATTCAAAACACGAATCAAAACCCCTAACCGTAGGTGAATGAATTACCTCATTCTTAGATTCAATTTCATGTTAACCGGAATTAAGAACATAAAACCAATCAACAATAATAAAATAGAATCGAAAAACTTACAATCAGATTAAGAGTTTCAAGATTTCAATCCAAATATCTTTGTGTCCAACAATCCAAGCATGAGAGGAAAAAATAAAAGCGGAGATATTTATCCTAATAATATTGAGTTTTTGGAGAGAAAAATTGAAAGGAATGATATTGGGGATTGTTCCTTAGGTCTGGGGGGTCGTTTTTATATATAGAGCTCGAAAAACGGAGCTAAAACGAGAAAAAAAACAAGCAAAATAAAAAACAGGGTCGACTCGGTCACGACTCGCGATTCTGACGGGTCGTGGGGTCGCGCAGGGTGTTCGGAGGCGATGTTAAACTCCCGAGTCGCGGCTTTGTGATCGCGAGTCGCGACTTTGGACTGCATTGCGCCATTTTACGTTTCGGGCTCCTTTGGGCTCGTCCGAACTCGGAATTGAGTTTTGTGTTTTGCTACATGTCGCCAACGAACCCATCTATCCAGTTATGCTCTCGAAACCAACTTTTTCTGAAGAGAAAATTTGCTCGAGCTCTCGACCTACACACCAAAAACGACAAAACACAAAAAAACTGAGAAACCAACAAAAAAAACACCTAAAGACTCAAAATGAGGGAAAATAAATAATAAAACACGAAACAGACTAAAAACTAAAGAAAATACCTAAAACGGAAGAAAAAGAAAGATAAAATAGACACGAAAAATGCATAAAAAATGGGCAAACAAAATCTGTTGCTCAGATTTATGTGGTTGGTGGTGACATAATTGATGATAGGGAAGAAGAGAATGATTCTTGTGAGGATGAGGCATCATTTGAGACATAGTCTGGAAGCCATATGCAAGTTTTTGATGATAGGGAAGAGGTGAATGGTTTGAGTTAGGCTAAGGCATCAACTAAGGGTGAGCCTGCAAGCTTGAAAGATATTGATGATATGATAGATAATTAAACTTCTGTTGAAGTTGATGAAGGTGATGCAGAAACTGATAATGCATGTGTTGGGTTAGGGCACAAGCAGAAACCGAGAATGCATATGCTGGGTTGGGGTTACAAGAGTGATCTGAAGATGAAGATTATTTTCCAACTGGGTGAGTTCATCAAATGATGACCTATCAGAAGATCTTATTTCTATGATGATGAATATGTTCAGGCAAGAAAGAGCTTAATGGAGTCTAAGAAGAAAGCTCAAAATTCTGACGATGACAGGCTATACACATCCAGTGGCTACAGTTGAGATGGACTATGAAGAGCATGAATTTCTAAAAAAAATGCACTAATCTCTGATGAGTCAGGTAGTGATAGAGAAATGGATTTAAAAGGGAAATTTGTTAAAAGGAGGATAAGGTTATTATATGATCCCAAGTGTGATCAAAATTCACTTGAGTTTGAGCTTGGCATGAGGTTTGAAAGCATTCAACAGTGCAATAGAGTCGTTGGAAAGGTGGCAATTATGCAAGGTAGAGATGTACAGAATCTGAGCTGTAACAAACGGAAATTGGAAGTTAGATGTCAAGAATGGCTACCCTTGGAGACTTTATGCCAGTGTGATTAAAAATGAAGGTAGTGTGGCTATAAAACTACTACATAAAAGAGCATCTTTGTCATAGGGATGTGCACACTAGACGACTCACTGCTTGGTGGATTGCTGAGGAGTTTGGTGAAAAATTCAGATGGAATCCAAACATGACAATTGCACAATCGAAAGAAGAAACTCCTGAAAGGTTTGCAATTGAACCTATAAAGTGAAAGCTTTACAGAGCAAACTGAAAAGCACTTGAAATGCTAAGAGGGTCTGTCATAGAACATTACTCATTTCTGAGAAGTTATATGGCTGAGTTGATTATGGGGATAGAGACGAAAAAATTTAGTTCTTACTTGGGGAAAATACCACATTCAGAGCCTTTTATGTGAGTTTTAGTGCTCTAAGAAAGAGATTTATTAATGGCTGCAGACCTATGCTTGGATTTTATGGATGTCTTTTGAGAACTTTCTTAGGAGAAGCCTTGTTATGTGTCAAGATGGTAACAATCAAATTTATCCAGTGGCTTGGGTTGGGTTGAGGCTGAAAATGAAGAGTGTTGGAAGTAGTTTCTCTCAAATTTGTTTGCAGATGTGGGTATAAGGGATGGCTTAGGATATACATTCATTTCAGACCAACAAAAGGTGAATAGCCTGTGCCATTTTTATTTATCATTCTTTAGTTCTAAAATAATTTTTCTTTGTAGGGTTTGTTGAATGCTCTGAGGGACTTGGCCCCACATGCTGAGCATAAAAGTTGTGCCCAACATGTCTACATGAACTTGAAGAAGGTATTCAAGGGGCACATTTTGAAAAATTTATTCTGGAAGATTTTGTTTGTCTCATATTTGTTGCATTTTTCGTTATAGTTTTGTTTTTCTTTTTCCTTCGTTTTAGGTCTTTTCGTTCATTTTTAGTTCTTTTGTGTTTTATTGCATGTTTTCCCTTATTTTGAGTATTTCCTGTGTTTTTTGGTTGTTTCCCAGTTTTCTGCGTTTATCTCGTCTTTTGTGGTGTGCAGGTCAGATGTCTCGTCGATTATAAATTGAAGGAGAAAAATATTTTGGGCGAGCTCAATTTGTAGAGGAGTTAGTTGGCGACAAGCAGAAAAAAATGGAATTGAATTCTGAGTCCAAATGAGCCTGAACAAACTCGAGTCGCGAAGTCGTACACGGAAGCTAGCAGTCAGACCAGCGCATCCTGCTGCTCCGCGTGGGTGGCACTCCCCGCATGTGACGCCCGTGCCCAGGTCTTCTCTACGCGCCGTTGCACTGCTTCGCGCCGCGGTACCACCAGAGCTCCACGCCGCGCAGGTCCTCCGCGGCGCGCCACAGCACCCCGTCATGCCGCGCCACTCCCTCGCACCGCGGAAGAGCCCAGTCCCACGCCGTGCCACATTCCTTCACGCTGTGACCCCTACGGCCTATATATATGCGCGAACGGGATTTCGACAAATTATCTCTCATTGCTCGAACAGAAAACCCTAAACCCCATCTCTTTTACTTGTTTTTCTTCATTTTCTTCATATTTCTCTCCATTGAACATAGAATTGATCTTGGATTTAAGCTTGTTCATCGAATTCAACTTTGGGATTTTATCAATCGTAAGATTTTCTTTTCATTTAATTGTTGAATTTGAATTCTTTGGTTGAGATGATTATTATTGTTGAATTGATTATGAGTGGCTAAATTCAAGTATGAGTGTACTTTTCTTGCTCGGATTTTTATGATATGAGATACCGAGTACTCTTTTCTGGCTCGGACCGAGTCTCTTTTCTTGCTCGGATTTTTATAATCTGAGATACCGAGTACTCTTTTCTGGCTCGGACCGATGCTCTTTTCTTGCTCGGATTTTTTTAAAAGCCGGAGATGAGGCTCGACGGCGGAAAAATATAGACGTCAACTCAGCCGGAGTAGAGGCTCAACGGCGAGAATATAAGAACGTCAGCTCAGCCGGAGTCGTGGCTTTACGACGAGAAAATGTATCGCGTCAGCTCAGCCGGAGTCGAGGCTCAACGGCGAGAAAATGTGGACGTCGGATCAGCCGGAGATGAGGTCCAACGGCGAGCAATATAATGACGTTGCAAACAGGCAATCGAGCTCGGCATGAGTGAGTAAGTTGAGGTAGCTTTCAGCATTGATTAATGATTTCGACTCCGGGTTCGATAAGTGAATTAGCCCCGTCACAGGTACAGGAATTTGGCCCTGGTAATGATAATTGACTTCGGCCCCGACATTAATAAATGAATCCGTCTTTGTCGTGGATCAGGGAATCCGCCTCGGCATTAATAAGAGAGGTCGGTTGATACGTCTACTGATTTTGAATAATTGTGCGCTCGCAGCTTTCGGCATATTGAGTGATAATGTGTTCATCTGGATTATGGTTGATCGCCTTTGGTTGGGCCCGCAAGCAGTCGTCCGTATGGTGAATTGATTCAGACTACAGAATGGTCAGTCCTATTGTGAGTTGGGAAATCCGTTGTAGATAGATAAATGAATCTGGCCCCAGCGTAGATAAGTGAACTCGGCACCAACATTAATAAGTAACTCAGCTCGGAGTGAATGAGCTCGGGCACAACTATCGTTGGTATGGATAAATAATCTCAACCCCGACTCTCGTCGGTTTAAATAAATAATTTCGGCCCCGGCAATTTCGACCCTTTTAATTTCCATGCCCACAGTCTCTTTCTTTTTGGGCCTAAGGGCCCAATAAGTTTTTTGTTTTTTTTTTTTTNCCCCCAATAAGTTGAAGAATCAGAAAAAATAAGGGAAATTTTCACCTTTACTACTCGTTTTTTAAATATTTGCACTTTTACCACTCATACCAATTAAATTGTGTTTATACCCAAAAAATAAAAAGTAATTAAAGGCATGCCTAATATCAGTTACACTATATGGAACAAACTTTCCATGTTTCTAGCCCATAATTTCAGCTCTCAATCTTGGAAGGATATAAGTTAGATATCATATTTCAAAGTTTCCATGTTTCATTATCACATCTCATATATAGTCGTAGTGCTGCTATGTAATACTCATAGTTTTCAATTTATGATTATTTCCTAAAATGTTGAACAGGTGAAAATATATGTGCAGTATATTTTGGTATTTGTTCATGAAAATAAACTGCGTAGTTTTAAAATATTTGGTTTATGTTCAGCAGTTGATATTTATTGTGCAGCATAAGTATATTTTTAGTTTATGTTCAATATATTTTATCGTTATGTTTAGTTTATACCACAACACAACATAAATGATAGAGGCGCGATTGGACCTTTTGTTTGTCCAATTTTTGTTGTATTCTTCGTTATTGTTTTATCAATCTTTTTCCCCCATTTTAGGTCCTTTCGTGAGTTTTTATTCCGTTTTGTGTTTTATTAGTGTTTTGTTCCATTTTTGTTTTCTTTGTGTTTTTCGTGTGTTTTTCTCCTTTTTCTTCTTGTTTTTGGTGTGCAGGTCGAAAGTCTCGTGAGGAGTCGATTTATCTCAACATAGGCCGGGCAATCATGGTTGTGTAGATGGATTTGTTGGATACACATAGGAAAAAGCGGAATTAGATTTCGAGTTCGGATGAATCCGGACGGAGCCAAAGCGTGAAGCCGCGCGAAGTCGCATGCGAACGTCTCTAGTGTGATGGTCAAGAGCTTAAGGAGAACCGGTTTTCGAGAATCTTGTGGGGAAGCTGACACCATTGGATAGAGGGGTTCGTTAGCGACACGTAGGAAAAAACGAAACTCAATTCCGAGTTAAAACAAACCCGAACGAGCAAAAATCGTAAGATGGTGCAGTGCAGATTTTGGTCTCCTCGGCCGCGGGATTTTCTTCGCCGCGGCCGCGGCGAACAAAAACAGCCAGGTCCCAAATTTCAGCAATAAAAAGTCGTGGTCGCGGGATCAGGTCGTGGCCGCAGAGTGCTAAAATTCCAGTTTTTTTTTTTATGACCTTTCCAAGCTCGGGAAATGGAAGTTAGTGCCACAAAATCCGGTCCTAGGTTGGAGAGGGGGAGCATTTTCATCTCCTAAGGGGGAAAAGGATGTCTTCTTGTCTCTCCTAACTCCCCAACATCATCATCTCCATCACAATTTTCTCTCTTCTTCTTCCTTCTTTTTCTTCTTCTTCTTCTTCTCTCTTCTTCTTCCTTCTTTTTCTTCTTCTTCTTTTTATTTTCTTTTCTTCTTATTGTATTTTGTATTTTGGATGAAGCTTGTATTGTGGATTCAACACTTGGATTGAGATTAATTGTAATTTTTTCTTCTTGTTTGATTCATGAGAATGATTGAATTTGGAGAAATGATTTATTGTGTTGAATTTATTGTATGTAGCTAATCCTCTAGCTAGGGGTAGGGGATAATCATTCCGGTTTAAGCTCGTTTATGTGCATGACGATAGCTTAATCTTGACGAGTTGTTCTAATTATGAATTGATAAATTAAACTTGGTAAATGTTTATAACCTAAGAGTGACACTTAGGTTAATTTGTTGATAAATCAAAGAGTGACACTTTGATTTGTGCTTGAACATGGATATTGTTAAGTTAATTTGTTGATAAATCAAAGAGTGACACTTTGATTTGTG